AATAAATGTTATTTTTTCAGTTGTTCTTATGAATCAATTATATATTAAACTTTTTGGTGCAAATAATTCATTCAGCTTGAACAAAAAGTCAAATAAACCATGTTGAGCAAATGTTAAGTGTTGCATGTTTTTCTGTTGCTTTTAGTATTTATTTTTGCTAAATATTGCAAACTTCTAATAGTCACAGTTACTTACCAACAGTTTCATTTCTTTCTTACAGATAAATTTCATATAACATTTTATCATTATAAAAAGGAAACAGTACTGTAAGAATCATTTTGAACTCCGTTAAATATGTGTTAATGAAAAACTGTTGCTTTAGTTCTCTCCCTACTGTTTGTTAATTTGCCAAATATTTAAATTTTTCAGTTCAGAGAAAATAGAACTGAACGATGGGCAGGAGCTGAATGTAATCAGATAATTATGCTATTTAGTGATGGTGGCACTGAACAAGCTTGGGAAGTTTTAGAAAAATATAATCCTGATAAGGAAGTAGGTTTTTATTTATTGCAAGTTTTATAATTCATCATGAAATTATTAGATATATTTTAAAAAAATTATTGTCAATTTATTTTTAAAGTGTTGTGTCATCGTCATATATTCATTTTATAAGACACTTTATTTACACAAAAAACATCCTCTTTGCACATAAACGTGTACAAATCCATGATTGATTTTCACGTCTTGTTCCCGGTTCATACTCGCTTAGTGTGTGCCAGTTCTGTGTTCAATTACTATTAAGTCCTGTAATCAGGATACACCACATCCCTTCCCCTTTCTCACAAGTTGCAAGTTCAGTCTGTTTGGTGATTATCAATTTTTGGTAGACCAATGTAAAAGTTGTAGCACAGCTAGTATCTTTGGTGTCCTGGTTGTATCAGCAGCAGATTCAGTGAATGGAATTTCAGTAAAACCTTCAGTAAATGACACAAACTTATTTATCTGATGGCTATTATCTTTGAATGGTTCTGGGACTCCATTCTTATCAACTTTTTTTGGAAATCGTGAGAGCTAGAGGATGATGTACACAGCTATCAGCATTAATGACACATTTCTGTCCTCTGTCACATTTCTAGTTGATATGTTGCTGTCATAGGTGACTGTCTACATTTGTAGCGAAATCCATCCTTGGTTTTGACAGTCCCAAATCTCCATCGCCCATCACTCTGGTGATAATATCTTGCTGCCACTTTAACGTCAACCCTAAATCCCTGGTCTACAAACTCATAGGTTTCTTTTCGAACTCTCATTTCCCTCTTTTTGAGATCTGGTGTCAATAAGTCAATTCTTGTTCAAATTTCTCTCCTCAGCATTAGCATTGCAGAGCTTTGTAAGGTAGTTTAGTTCGGAGCCTTTCTGTATTGCAATAAAAATGTACTGAGTTTTTGTCTTAAGAGTTCCCGGATAATTTTGCATTGTTCTTAATGTACAAAACAGGTAGAACTTTTGCACATATTCAGTATCAACATGAAACAAGGAACTAAATTTACCTTCAAAGTAATTTTAAGCTTGCTGAAATTTGAGTCTGGTGGGGCACATTTTTAGCACCAAAAGTAATATTAGTCTCAGTCCTCACTTTTGTATCTGTTTCACTTTTTAAATAAAAAGATGTTATCACCAAATATTATTGCTATTTATTATTTTCAAAGAAATATTCTAGAAAATAGATATATAAATCGATGAAACATAAATTAAAGAATGTTGTCAGCACGTGTTATCATCATATATTATTTAAAAAAATGTATATAATGAACATAAAAAAAACAGTGTATGGCAACATTTAACACTCTGTTGGGATTGCTAAAGATGTTTTAAAATATTTTGTGTGGTATAAGTATAAATAAACTGATGTTTAATAAATAAAGTTAAAAAGACAAAAAGTTAATAATAAAAAGATGAAAATAAGTTGTTTAAATCTTCTTACTAAAAAAAACTGAACATTGATATGATAAATTGCGATAAGACTGAAAACAAAATGGCAATAGTACTTAACAATGTGTTGGGAGTTCTCAATCTGTGCTTCTTTTAAAAAATTTTGCAGTTTTGCTGTTGAATTTTATATGGCATAAGTGTGGAGAAAGTGACTTTTAATCATAAAGTTTTAAAAAAAAATTGTTGTATAGGTAAATGAATGATGTGATGAACTGAGAAAAAACTGAAGAAATAAAATAATATTTTGCAATAGAGTTTTAAAACACTTAACACTCCACTAGGAATTCTAAAAGTGTTGTGATTTTACTGTTGAAATTTATGTGCGAAGAAATGTTTAATAATTAAGAAGACAAAATAAGTTGTGTTAACATTAGTGAGTCCAAAAGCAAGGTGGTAAACTGCAAGTTCAGCCAGAGCATAAGAAAAACCTTCACAAGCCCTCTGGTACCATGTCAAAATTTGAGTTCTTTCAGATTTTAACTTTATCTTTTCCTATTTTTTCTTAAATACGTAAAAGGTGCTTGAAATGAACCACAAATTCAGTCTAGTGATAAGACTTATAGATTAGATACTGAATCTTGATTTGCCCTCTATGGGTAGCATACTTGAAAAGGTTATACTCCAAAGACATATGTTCTTTATAAACTGAAGATGCTTATTGAACTTTTTTGCTCCACAGTTAGTCTTGTCAGTGGACCATGTCTTGGAAAAACTGCAGTCGGTGATTGTAAATAACAAGTGTGGTAATATTCTCACATTCAATATTTCCATAGACATACAGGGTGCTTTTGGTTTGCTGTGATGGCCTGTCATATTAAGTAAACTAAAAACATGGCTTTCTCAAAAACTCTATACAAATTGCTGAAGAACTACTTAAATGAGATACATCCAAACCACAATAGACAAAAGTTTCTAGTGACCTCCATGAACAGGGGCTGCCCACAGTTGTCTTGCTTTAGGCCACTATTATGGAATTTTAGCATACTATGCCTTTGTACTAAGCGAAAATGATGAACATGTAAACATTCAGACATATGCAGTTGATTTTCTGCTGGTCATAAAAGGTCGCTCAAGAAGAGAGTAACTAGTGTGTAACTAGAGCTCAACATGCAGTCAACATATTAACAAGCTGGATAAAAGGGGAAGGTCAATAGGAGAAGAAGCTTTTAAATTCTCTAAAATTTTAGAAACACAGAAAAAATACAATTCGCCACTTAATTACTTATAATGTGAATTTTAACAACAATTCATTTGTTTCAAATCTCAACCAAAAAGAAAAGAAAGCCTAATGTGAAATTCATTCTAATCCTAATATAATTTCAAAGGCTGGTAAGGGTGGACAATTGTAGTTATAGACAAACTCGCATACATTAATGGGGTCACGAAACTGATAAGTGAAGGCCCATACTGTTTGATCCCTAAAAATTCCTCAACTTCTGACCACAAAAAAGTTAAAACAGCTGATAAATCTTCTCATATATTTTCAACTCAGCTTAAGAAATCACTCATTCCACTTATTGCTAACTGTGCTAGATTTTATGCTCTCCCCAAACTTCACAAAATTGGAATTCATTTTCGACCTATAGTTTCCAATTTAGAAACTGCATCATACCCTTTGACTAAATATTTAGCTTCCACTAAAATGCCTTGAAACTAGACTTCGAGAATTCCATTTCTTACATATTGAAATTGAAGAGTTAATTTCCCTCACTAAAGTCTCTGTGAGTCAAACTCACTTTGTTTTTCCAAAATGAATATTATCACCAAATTGAAGGGCTAGCTATGGGTAATCCCCTCTGTCCTGTACTTGCTGACATTTACATGCACTATTTTGAGGTCAAGTTATTTGAAAAGCTATCTTTTCATCTGTGGATTCACTATGTAGACAACACTTTTTCTGATGGTGATAAGGAAGACTTACCCCAGATTTTATCTGTTATAAATTGGATTGATCCAGGCATCCAGTTCAATTTGAGACTGAATCTGATAATACACGTCCCTTCCTTGATATTCGTATAATCTACAATGGATCTAATTTCAGCACAACTGTTTACCATACACCCTTTTCTGTTTGTTTACCTCCCCATGCTAAGTCATGTCTCCTGGCTAAACAAAAAAAGGCTTCTTTTTGCTATTATGTATTTTGAGCTCTCAAAGTTTGTTCGTCAGAATCTCTTCTTGCTAATGAACTCAATTATTTAAGATCTGTTGCCCCTTGACCAAGGATCTTCTCCCATAGTCACTGATAAAGTTGTTCAAAAGTTTCATTGCGCTGTCTAAAAACACATTCTGATATTAGAAATAACATTTATAACCTTGTTATGCTTTCCATTTCATCCTTTCAATTACGAAATTGCACGGATATTACATAAGTTTAATTTTCAAGTTGTTTTCTCACCTATAAATGAAATCCGAGTTTTGGTTCTTAAAGATTCTGTTTCTGACTTTAATTCTTGGGGAATTCATAGCATTTCGTGCCAATGTGGCTTAAGTTGTATTGGCCAAACAAAAAGAGTAAATTTTCGCATAAAGGAACATGAATTTAACGTCCGAAAAAGCGAAATTAACAAATCTTCAATAGCTAAACATAGTTCAAAGCTAATTCAATAGTTAATTCAATCACAATTTTGATTTTGGATCTGCTAAAATTATCCAAAAAGCTGGTTCTATTAGGGAATTTGATTTTCTTGAAGCTTTTCACATTCACAAAAATTTATCTTGTTTAGTCAATGACTTAATTCCAGTCCAGTCTTGCCTAATGCCTTTAAAATTTTGCAACCTTAACCCTTCATTTTTCGTTACTATTTCTGCCAACAGATGGCGCTATCTGTTCTTCCACTGGTCGCTTGTAGGATATAAATAATATGATCGACATTCACTTTCTTGCTTTTGCAGAATTTTTTGCTCCTGATGAAGGGGGATATATTTTGTAAAATCCCAATCAATTTCAATTTTTGCAATCGAAATTGATTGGGATTTTACAAAATATACATCAAATACAAGGTTACAATTTGCCTGTTTTATTTTCCACGTCGCCATGTTTCTGTTGCATCTTCTTATTGCAATATTTTGAATTTTTATTATAGCCAGAAATGGCATCAGAGAGAATGCTAAAGGATGTTTTTTTGGAAAAGGAATTTGATTCTGAAAACAAAAATCTTCTATCAGATAATGAAACTGATTCAGATACATATATTTGTTTTGAAAGTTCAGAAGATGATTCGAGGGGAGAAGATTTTAATATTGCGAAATGCCACATTGTGCACCATTTCATGTTTCAAAGTCTCCCACATAGAAAATTGTTTCATAATATTCCCCACACATAAATTTATAAAAGTATATAAAACTATATATATAATCCATTACATTTTAAGATTTAATTTTTTACCATATTGATTAATGATTGGTCATCTAACACTTGTTACTTGTAAAAATCTAAAACATTAATTATTATATCGCCTAATACATGTAAAAATATAATGGCAAATAACAAAGTATTATTTTTATTAAATTTATTATTTGTTACAGTATAATATAATGTTTATTATTTTTTTAACTCAGGGTAAAATAGTAATTTTTTGTAAAGATGCATACAGATTTTCTCTTTCAAAAAAGGTCTCCATCTTTCTCGCTGAAAGATAATAACATTTAACAAAGCATCTAGAGAGAAAACAAATGTCATGTGTTCTCACTGTTACTGACATCGTGCGTCTTTGGGAAGAAAGCATTGTTTAACCTCACAACCACCAAACGGTTAACGATAAAATACAAATGTTTAATAATACAAAGTATAATTCAGGTTTAAATAGTCATACTGAAGAATATCTGTAATTAGTTTATGTTGCCACATGGTAGATATATAGAAGAATTAGGAAGCATTGAGTGCTGAAATGTGGCTCATCCTAATTATAACAAATATTGGCCAGTTTGCCTGAGAAATTCGTGTACAATGACTGTCCTCCCTTTCTGTTTCCTTCATTATGGCAGTAATTAAGCAATCCAGATCATGAGTTTGTTTTTTCATTACTTACAATAGATATTATCTAAAAAATCAATCACATCATCTAAATTGGTGATCTTTTTTGGTTGTGTACCTCTAAGGCGAAAGTAATTGTAAATTGCACCCCATATAATATAATAACTATAAATTCAAACTCATATTATGTATATGTGTGTACGTGGTCAAAAATAAAATTATTTAGCATTTATTTATTTAAAAAAATATACATATATTTAAATTAAATTAAAATTTATGTTTTGAATTAGAATTTATCAGAAGAAACTGATTTGATGCCACTCTGTTAATGCAGTTCAGAGACTAATTTATTTCTGTATTTAGATTTAACTGCTATTATTGCAGAAAACGTTTCTTCACACATATTTCGTTTTCATTTCCATCTGCCAATCAAGAAGAGATTTTTCTTTAAATTTGTATTGTAATATTGTTCCTTTTCTCATGTGAAAGGACTGTTCTTAAGGTGCTATTGAAAAATGATTGATCTTTTTTTTATAATTTAAGAAAACGGGTTCATGACCCACTTTTAAACTGCTTTAATGCTTAGAAGATCTGTAAATTATCTATAAAGTGATCATGAGCCTAATTATGTGACATACCTCCAAATATCACTTTTCATACCCCACTTCGAAGTGCACTGGCCTAAATGAGATGAAAATAGTCTGAAGTAAATCATTATATGGATTAAGGTACTTAATTCTAGATGAACACAGAACTTTATAATTAATTTTAAAATCATTTACTATTACTTTGTATTATAACTTCCAGAATGTTACTGAGTAAATTTTCCTGCAATTTATGTTTATTAATGTTTTCAATATATAAAAGTAATTATTTATAATTAGTCATTTAATATTGGTAGTCATGTGATAAATTAGTATTTCTAACAATCATGTGAAATTTAAAATGAATCTGGCCACATGTTTAATTAATTCTGATCAACACTTAGAAGTTATTATTATTTTTCACTTTATGCTGTGCTTTAAATTTTAGATAAGAATATTTTCCTATGCAATTGGACCACATCCTGTTCCTTATGCCACGTTAAAAGAAATTGCTTGTGCCAATCGAGGTATAATATATATTTGTGTTAAATAAGTGTATGCCTGTTTGTATATAGTTTTTATTTCCTTTGCTTCTCGTGGCATTTGTAAACTATTGTATTTATTTTAAAAACTTTAACAAATTTGATCTAAATTTTGAAAAATATGTTATTACTCATTGTAAATATGTATGAATTGTTAAATAAAACATGCTTGCTTAAACTATAGATAGTTTTTTTTTTTTTTTTACATTTTTTTAAATATAGATTTTTTTTTCATCAACTGAAACTAATCTGTATATAGAATCTGACTTTTTTGTGGTGGGGGGCTGAGTATTTTTCTTTTTGGCTTTTTTTGTTTTGACCTTTTTTTGGGCGACAGGTAGACAGACTACCAATAGCTATTTTTTAATATCATTTTTACTTATGTACGCATATATGAGTTTGTGCATAATTTATATGTAAACATACATTTCTATAATCATGCTTCTAATATCCTGCCTGTCCAACTTCTGTCTATTTTAGGATATTTTACAGCTATTCAAGCTTATGGACAAATAAGGACAAAAATACAAGTAAAAGTTTTCACTTCTATAAACAATTTTCATTTCTGTGCATGAATATATGAAATGTAAATCTTATTTACCTAATTTTTGCAACAAAATTTCTTTAGGTTTCAATGTGACTGCTAAATATTCTGCATGAAACTGTAATTCTTGCATGTCAGTTCATAGATTTGATAGTTTTAGCGTAAGTAAATAATTTTTTGTATTTTGTTTATATTTTTTTTTCATTTTATATATATTATTTTTTGTTTCCTTTGTTTATATTTTGCCAGACACAATTTATTTTTAACATGTGAAAAAATATGTAATCTGCATTTATAATTTTTTTATATTGTGTGTATTTTATTTTCTATTTATAAGCCTCATCTAATTTACCAACTGTAGCACATTAGTTTCTATTTCATAAGCATACATCTGTCATCACTTTTTTAAGCATCAGAATTATCTCTGTTGTTTTTGAACTCTTTATTTATGACATTTTGATTGGAGTTTGTCTTGAGTATGGTAAAAATTGAATGTTATCGCACATTGCAGTTTTTAAATTTTAAAATAATGTGAATTAAATTTAGATGTAAAAATTTACTTGATTCTGTAAACATCAGCAGAATTTAATGAATAATTATAATAATGAATAAAAATAAAACAAATAAGAGCACTGGTTGCAAATGAAAATTGCTGTATATATATATATATATTATATGTATGTGTATATATATAGTCCGAGATCTGGAATGATTTAAAATCCGGACCTTAAATATAGATTGTTTGTTGCCAACAGTTGTTTTTAAATGCTTTACTCATGCACATTTGATTCCCTCCCCATATAATAGTTTAGCTTAAATTTGTGTGATCAATAATTTGGCTTCGTAGCTGCATATCTGCTTGGCATACATCTCAAAATGAAACATTCTAGATAGAAACATCGTTGGTTTTATGCCTACTAATATTTTATATCCCTGATGCCAACCTGTTGAATTATTATTTATTATATTTTGCTTTCATCACTGCATGTTTATCAACACATGACAGCTTAAGTAATGACTCATGCAGTGATGCCAGAACATTTTTCATATTAGTACAAAGAGTATGGTAACCTTTTATGCTGACATTATTATACAATTATGTTGGCAGACTACAGATTTAAGTTAAATCCCCTAAGAAGTATTGACTAGGAAAATTTCTTTCAATGTGCTAAAAATAGATTTTGTTAATGATACTCATAGATGAAAAGATTACATTTAGTGCTATTTGAATTAAGAATAACTTGTTTTTCACATAAACCAAGAACCAGTGCCAGAGCTCTTATGACTGCACTATGTGGCAGAATTTATGGAAAACAAGATTTTTGGAATTTAGAGAAGCACTGAGCAACAAAATTAAAGAATGAAAATATTTTTTGAATTTAGAGAAAGCACTGGAATCTAAAATGTAGGAGTGGCAAAAATTTAGAACTTAGAGAGGCACTTGGTAGCAGAATTTAGAACCCTCAGAGACTGCATCAGGCGGTAAGATATCTAGTGCCGACCCTCGATAAGCCTTAAGTACATGTGTGAATTTCTTCATTCAGGATTCAGAAGCAAGACAAAATTTAGTGGAACAACTTTTTTTTCATCACCAATCTCATGATACACAGCCATTAATGCACAGTGGACATTAAGGGAGGCTAAAATTATACTTTACTGATTCCAGGGAATATCAGCCAATACAACAGATTGCAATGTTCCTTAACTTTTGGATTTAATCCAGCTTAATTATTTTTTGCAGGTTGTTTTTATCACAGGAATTTGATGAAAATTAAAGTTTCAACTTTCATTCATGTCGAAATGAGCTTCTAATTCTGGAGCTGCAACAAGATCTACAAAGCGAAAACATGTTTCGATGTCCATTAAATAAAATGTGAAATTGCTGAAAAAAAAAAAAAAAAGATGGATTCATATATCCGTTTTGAAATTATGCAAGGAGTATGCCATTGGAAAGTCAACTGTACATGACATAAGAAAACAGAGTGCACATATTCGACAGGTTGGTTAATCAAATTTAAAAACCGCCATAGTAAAAGGCAATTAAGAATTTCAGGTAAAAAAGTTTCAGTTGATACTGAAGCTGCTGAACTATTTGCAGATGAATTCATTGAACTCATTAATAGTGAAAAATTACCTCCAGAATAAATTTATAGTGCTCATGAAACTGGTTTTTTCTGGCAATATGTACTGCTAAATACTTTGCAACTTCTACAGAAAAGGCTCCTACTGGTGTCAAAGATTCCAAAGCAAGACTAACAATTTTAGTATGCGTAAATGCTGCAGCAATGCACAGATGCAAACTTTTCGTAATTCGGAAAATACACGACCTTGAGCATTTAAAGAAATAAAAAGTTGCCCATTATATATTGTGCAAATAAAAGAACACGTGTGACACAAGTGTTAATGAATGATTTGTTTGAAAATCATTCCATATCTGAGAATCAGCAAAATTCGGTTGGTTTACCTGATAACACAAAAATTGTCCTGATTGTAGACATTGGCTCATACTTCACTTTTAGTGAAACATAATGTATCCATATTATTCTTTCCTTCAAATTGTATGTCAATCATTCAGCCTATGGATATTGGAATAATGGGCATGCTGAAATGCAAATATAAAGTAGAATTTGTAAAATCCATGTTAAATTTCTTGAATAATGGTAAGACTATTTAATAATTTTTAAAACATAAAATCTGTTTAATGCTAATTAAAAAAAAATTGTGGAGTATTGCAAGATCATTGGAGGATGATCGTGGGAGAGATACTTTAAAAAATGCTTGGCATAATTTTTGGCCAGCTGGCATATTCCATGGTGAGCTTGATAAATATGATAGCCAGAAATGTGAAGGTTTTCAAATATCACAGACCGAAGGTTAAATTTTCCAATTAATGGATTTATTAAAGAAATGTGAAGAAGCTGTAATAAATGAAGATGATATAACAGAAGTTTTTTATTGCAATGACAATGCCCCAATTATCAATCAATTAACAGATGGTGAAATCTGTAGTTATGGCTCTAGGTCCATAAAATACAACTACCGATGGTGACGAAAGTGACAGAGAGTTACTGAAAATGAAACAATTTCAATTAACAAGTTTCTCGAAATTCTCAACACAGCAATTACATTACTTGAAAACTGGAATTTATGTATGTCTACAGAATTAAAGAGAAATATTAGCACAAAAAAAACTTGAACAACTTGCATTGAAAGAAATGCTTGTAAACAATTAAATATTAAGCCCCCCCTTTTTTTTATTTTCTTACACTTTAGATCACAAATGCTTCATCACTTCATAAATCAGGATTTCATATTTTTAATTTTATAATTTCTACATGCCATTTTACAAGCTTTAAACTGATGATCTAATATCCGGAATTGAAGTTCCAACGAGTACGGATTTCGGATTAGTCATGGTTGAGAAACTGCTGCACAGATAATTGGAGGAAACATCACAACTTGCTTGTTTGTTAGAACACCATTTTCATTTTGAACAGAAATAAGTTCTTCAGAAATACATATTTTCTTAAATTGGTTCCACTCTAGGGATGCGAAACGCACCCCACAATTCCTATGCAGACAGTTTGCATTTCAAACAATAGAAAGAAGGTGAAGTGAGAGATGTGGTTTATTCAAGCAGCTGCAAGTGAGGGAAAAAAAATGATGCGTACTAACTATGGTCATATTTATAAGCCAGAATATAAGAAAATATTTGTTTCAATCCTGAGCAGTGATTGGGCTAAAGATTTCACAGTGCAGTAAAAGGGTGATATTAGAGCAGGAGAGTGATCAAAGATGGTGTAAAGCATATTGTTGATGTAGGGATGTGTCAATTTAGGAATTGAAGGTGTATTGCCAGTTGGTTCCAATTAAGTTCAATGATTTTTTTACATAAATTATACTTTACTTTTTTAAACTTGTTTTGGTTTGATTTAAATATATATTTAAACTGGATGTGACAGAAATTACTTATAAGCCAATTTAGCTGAAAATTATGTTTCTAACAAGTACTGCATCAGCAAGAATGTGCAAAATCTGCCCATGTAATTTTTATATATGGCTATGCAATTCTAAATCCTTTTATAGGCATATATCTGTAATGTACATCTTTATCCTTATATTATAGGATTATGTAAAAGTCTTGAGCAGACCACTTATTTTGAGTGGTGAAAAACATTTTGAGTGGACGAACTTTTATATTGATGCAATGGTTAGTATTTTTCAAAATAACTTCATGTAGTTTAAATGTTTATCTTCTTACTAATAATTTATGTGTATTTTATGTCACATTTTGCTGTGCTATTGTTAGATTTTTGCCACTTCTATGTTAATTATTTATATAGTTTTTATTCATTTGTGAGATTTGTTGTGTCCTAATGTATATTATCTAAAATTTTTGTGAAGGGTCTGGGAATGATGACTACTATTACATTGCCTGTATTTAACAGAACTGAAACTGGGGTAAGTAGCTGTTTATTTTAACTTTTTATACATTGTTTAGCATTTATATTACTTTTAAAAAAACCTTTTTTTTTTACACAAACTACCCTTTTAATTAATCTTTCTGTTGTGGATAAAATGTTTTCTCAAACTCATAGCTCCATGTGGCCCCCAAAACAATCATTTGTGGCCTTTGAATGCATTTTAATTATGATTTTGTAGCAAATATGGTGCTGATAGTTCTAGTGGCATTAAGATATGGATTAATTATGTTATATGTACGACTGCTATCGAAGGGGGGAAAAGATAGAATGAGTAGGTTCTATCTTTGTCATGATTTAGCAATTAATTTAACATATTGGAATACCTGAAATAAATGTTGGTCTGAAATTTAAAATTTAGCTGTCATTGTGTTTGAATTACAAAGTACAACCAATAGAAATTTCTTACAGGTACCAACTTTTAGGCTTCAGATAGAAACTAAGTATGAATTTGAATTTTTTTATTTTGTGTTATTATTATTATTATTATTTATGTATGCTTTGATAAGTATTCAGTAAGTAAAATTTGAAATTTATTTTATTTATTGACTTATTTATTTTTGTCTTATTAAAAAAGTGTTCTGGACCCATCGGCTGCTCAGATCAAGCATCTGGCTGCCATGTAATTTGAATTTGAAACCACTGCTTTAATTTCCAATACAAATTAAAACTGTGCATAGTGAGCTGAATCCAACTCTAATGATAAATACACCTATAAGTGCGTTATAGAATAAACGTAGACACTCATAATGTGTATTTTCACTACTGCATCAACACTTAGGCACCATTTGCAAAGCGTGTTCAGTTTCTCTTACATACATACTAGAACACATAAGAAAATAAATCACATGATAAGTTATAAAATAGTCTGCTGTATGCTTAATGCAAATACCACAATAAAACTCCAGTGCCATATAACAGAATTTAAACAAATGAAAACAACAGTTTTCATAGATTTTTCAGTGGCACTTAACATGCATGTACTGCCACAGTGTTCTCCTCCATCTGAGACAAACTGGCGACAATATTTTCCTGCTATATTTCATAACACTATCAATGCTGAAATTAAGTTTCAAAACTATTTTTGCAAAGAATGTAAATATAAATGTGCTACAATAAAATACTAACAATAACAAATTATAATACTGATGAATATGTTCTTAAATCACAAATGGAACAGATCTTCAGCAATTACTTGCTAACAACTACTCAAATTTTAGCAACAAATGAATGTTTATATTAGCGACATACAAAAATCATTCTACAAGAAGTAGACAAATACCTTGAACATTTCATTTTAACAATTTTGATCAAGCAATCTTAGTGCTACTACCTTTACCTTTTATCCCTACCATGAAAAACCTACCTTTACCTTTTATCCCTACCATGAAAAACCTCAGCTGTTCTTCCCAATAATCATTTGGTTGAGGGCAGATTTTCATCTTTTTATTAATAAAAGAGTTCCCAACTGAATGCCGTCTTTTAAAAAATGTCCATTTATGATGCTATTGTAAATTATTCAGATAACTGTGTTTTCACAATTTTAACATGTTCTGTGTGTACGTAGTAAGTCTTTGCCATTTAGAAAGTTGATTTTTTGTCAGATGAATCTGGTTTAGTAAGGGTTGTGAGAGGTCTACAGATCAAAATGTGACCTGGGGTCAAAGTTTCAGAATTGTTATAATGATTCTTTTCAAATGAATGATGAATGATTTCACATCAGCTTCTGAAATTAGGTGGGTGGGCAGAATGAATTTGCACTCTATATATACTCTCGGTGGTATAAAAATTTATTAAATTTTCACCTGGGCACTCAACCAGTTTTTTATTTTTTGCATTAGTTTCAATAAAAGTGTTAGAATTATCTAGAAAATTTTCCCCTTCTAGAGAAAAAAGTCTTAAGCTTGCAATAAAAGATGGACTAGTTTGGTCTGTTACAAAGTCTAATTGTGTGCCTTTTGTACTCATACATATATATATACACTACAATGCAGATTTTGTTAAAAAGTCCCTTATGATGATTCTTAAACTTAGTAGCAAATGGGCTACAGAAATCAACACCAGTGCTGTTAAATGGGTAAGATGGTGCAACATGCTCTTTGGGCGACTCAGCCATTAATTGGTAAACTGTGACTGAAAATGACTAACGACTTGTTCTAAAAATATGCCACACATCTATAAACAATTTTTGTACAGTTATTTCTGCCATTAAGTGGCCAGAACCTTCACATACTGCAGACATAATTGAAGTTACAGTGACATCCCAATGTCATTTATTTATCATATTACATTTTTTACCATTATGCAATGTCACATTGTGATCTACACTGTGTTGTCCTGTAATAAAGTAATCAAATACAAGGTTTAATCATTTCAATAAACACTTTCATTTAGAAACTCTGAGTAATCATTAGCATTCACAAAGATAAGTAAAATTACGTCTACCAAAATTGGCTTAAAAGAATGAGATAATTAAATTTAAGCCAAAATTGACTTAAAAGCTCTGGGAACTTATATTAAAAACATATAATTTTTGCCATAAAAAATTTTTATAGCCAAAACCTTTGGATCACTCTCATGTACCATATATGACTTACTATGTATTATATACACTGCACAGAAAAAAGGGGGACAGTTCTACATCTCCCGTTCTACTGGGCCGATTGATGAAATTCAACTTGCGCTTTTCATGTCTCGAAAGCGCGACTTAGAATATGTCTTAGATTTATGTATAGCATCATTCTAATATATGTATTTTGACACAAAATTGGACTTTTTCTGAAATAACATATAAATTTTTTTCCATATATCGATTCTACCACTTACAAAAATTGCATGAGTAGTTTTTAAAAAATTAGCTCCCAAAATTTTAGCTCCTCCATGTTAATTGAATCTTGTATATATTTATTAATATCTCTTTTTTATTAAATTTATTTGAGTCTTCCTTTCACATTTCAAAATTTAGGTTCATTTCAAATAAAATTCACCCAGTTTTTATAATTTATTTTTAAAATTTATATTTTTTAAATCATTTTTATAAATTTTTTGAAAAATGTTTTGAATTGTGACCTATAAAAATTTTACTGTCATCTTAAAGCAGATGTATTTCTAAGAATACCTGCAAAAAATTAGAGTTTTTTATTCAAAATTTCCTGGGATGTTCATGAATTTACATATTGGCATGTTTTGAAATTTGACAAAATGTTAAAAAAACGCCTCTTTAGACGTAATTTAAAATCTGAAACATTTCAGATTTTTAAACATTTTTTTGGCTTATCAGACTGAACTTTTCTTTAAACCCACAATAGGAATATTTGAAACACTCTTCTGGGAAGACATGACGTTAGGGATCTGTGTAATGAAAATACATGATAAATTGAAACTTGTGAATTCACTTCGAAATAATGAACATAACACAAGTTTTTAATTTAATATTTATGAAAATGCTGTGATAATTTTATGTAAAAAATGAAAATTATTGTAACATTCTCCTTATGACTATTGTTATAAGCGGTAATAATGCCAAATGTGGTTTATGCACTTTGTTAAGATTATTTGAAAGTATGAATGCCTTTTTCCCCACTCGACTACAATGAAAAAAATGGAAAGGAAAATAGGTTGCCATAAATTAAAAAGTTTGCCAAGTAAATTATTCTTGGCGCAACTGAAAAAATTGGGCCAACATAAATTTTTTAATTTCTCCGTAAATTTCGCAACAAATTTTACAGACTTTAATATTTATGCATGATTTGAATCATAGAATCGAAATATGGGAAAATATTGGCATGTCATCTCAGAAAAAGTCCGATTTTGTGTCAAAATACCTATGTTAGAACAATGCTATATATAAATCTAATATATAACCTAAGTCGCGTTTTCGAGAAATGGAAAACGCAATCCCCTGCCGGCAGTGTACATGTCTAAAAAAAATTTAAAAATTGTGATTCTATTTAATTAAATGTGAATGTATAGTTTGTTGTAGGATCATATTTGGTATGTTTATGATTCCCTGCTATTGGTATTGTTAGTGTGAGGGTGTTTTTTTTTATATATCTTCTAAATTTCAGAACCAGACAATGGTGGGGATTATGGGAGTTGATGTATCTTTGCAAGAATTCCTTGAATATGAACCATCTTATGAGGTATATTTTGTAGCAAATACTGTATGGTGCAATCTTTAATGTCATTGTCGTAAATTAAAAGAGTATTTACTCATTTGAAATTTCACTAAAATTACTGACATTTTTACTGCATTTTTATTCAACAGTGATAGCTAAAATTTAGTAAAAAAATATATATATTTATATATTGTCTTATTTTTTCTTTATAAATATTATCATAATGAGAGTACTCCAAAGCTGTTTATTATTCATGTCTTGTCTCTGAATGACATATAATAGACATTTAGTCATACTGACATTAGTATTTCTAATGATCTAATTCCTTTTCTGTGATCGGTATATTTTTCTACATTTTGAAAATATTCTTAAAGAAATTCAGACTAGTTCCAGATTTGAATTCAGTATTTTGTCATCACTTATAGCTTGTAAATTATATTGTAAATTATTATGTAGTAATTTATTAATTATTAAAGTATATAGATGATTTATACTTCTCATTTTATTTAATTTTCAAAAACATTATTGATGTTATACAACACAAGTAATTTGAATAGTATGATTTGTTTTTTAAACATAAGTCAGATAAAAATTGATGTGGTTTATGTCTGTGCTATAATATTATGAAGTTTAATACGATCATTGTTAATGTAAAAATAAACTTTTTATGCATTGTTAGTTTGAATCTTTATGCAGTGATTTTTATTTGTAGATGGGACCTGTTGCTTACTCATTTGGAATTAATCATAATGGTTATGTTGTCTTCTATCCTGATCTGAAAACAGAGGTATCGCTATTGATATTATAATGAAATAGTAATACATATTTTTTTAGAATTAAAGTTAAGTTTGATATTTTGTTATTTTACATATAAAACAGTTTTTTTGTGCGTGTGTTGTTATTGTTGTTATCAGTTTCCATACTTTTTTTTTGTTTTATTTTATTGTAGTTTGAATTCACAGAGGATCCACTTCCAATTGATTTTTTGGATATTGAAATTGAAAATTCAGCAAAAGAAGAGGTATATGCATTACTTGGCTATTGAATGAGACTTAAATACATTTTACTGAAATAAAGTTTAAATGGAAAGTAAAGATGAATAAATAGGAGTACTTTTGGGCAATCATTAAAATATGAACCTTTCAAGTCTAAAATCTGTATAAAAATTATAAATAACTAAATAATTGTGTTAGTTACATGGTTTTTTGAATCTGCTCATAAAGAGCTGTATTTAAACTGCATTTATTAGCTAAATTTATACAATAACTTATTTTAGTCCCTGTTTTTATAAACTTTCATTCATTAAGATGATATTTATCCATTCAAGAAAGTAAGAGAGCAAATATTTAAAATTATAAGCTATATCAATTGAGTAAAAGTACTGAGAGAAACTTCAGAATATGATGACACTAAATATTAGCAAATACTTTCAAGCATTAAAAAGTCACACTGAAAGAAGAATTCATAAAGCTCCTCTTAACATAATTGGATTGGGCAGTTTTATGCAATCTTTCTCATTAACTTTTATCAGCATTTTTTTAGTAAAAATGAATTATTAAAGGTAATTATTTTTTCTTCAAAATATGTTTTCATATTCAGAAAGCTTGACTAGTTTTCTTTTGATCCATATAATGAATAATTTTTCCTTTTTGATGAAGTCTGACCTTTAACAAATTATTTGCATTCAAGCAAGTATTATCTAATTTCTTTTCCTATGACTCCTGAAACTAATCTGGATAAAATTAGTCTTTTGTTGATTCATACGAACAGTAAGCATCATTATTGTCAACAAATGAACTGATGTGTATTTTTTCTATTCTTAGCTTTTAAATTTTATTCTGTTCTTGCTGTACATAAGCATTGTTGTCCTGTATCGTATATAGCGATTAATTCTCTCAGATAGTTTTTACATCCAGTCATAAGGAGAATGTTACAATAATTTTCATTTTTTACATTAAAATTATCACAGCATTTCCATGAATATTAAATTAAAAACTTGTGTTATGTTCATTATTTCGAAGTGAACCCACAAATCCACAAGTTTCAGTTTATCATGTATTTTCATTACACAGATCCCTAACGTCATGTCTTCCCAGAAGAGTGTTTCAAATATTTATATTGTGGATTTAAAGAAAAGTTCAGTCTAAGCCAAAAAATTTTTTTAAAAATCTGAAATGTTTCAGATTTTAAATTACGTCTAAAGGGGCGTTTTTTTAACATTTGTGTGTTGCATTTATTTTTTAAATATCACGTTCTTTGCACTTAAACCATAAAATCCAGTTCAACAGCAATATCACAAAATAGTTTTAAAATGAGCATATCCTTTAGAATTTCCAATACAGAGACTTACACACTGGAGATAGAAATTATTTTTCTGTATAACGTTGCCATTGCTTGCTTCAAAATCCTTGAGTTTGTTAATCAAAAATTCATTAAAAAATAGGCAATTGATAATACAATCAAAAGTCTTTAATCCGGACACGTCAGGACTTCGGCGATTCCGGATTATCGATCTTCAATTTAAATCTGGTAAGATTTCATGCAGAAATTATAAAATTAAAAATATGAAACTGTAATTTATGAAATAAAGAGCAATTATGATCTAAAGGGTATCAAAATTTACAAAAAAAAAAAAAAAAAAAAAAAAAAAAAAAAGCTTAATATTTATTTGTTTACTATATTAAACATTTCTTTCAACGCGCGCATGCATAAAGCATACATTATGCATAGTCGAAATTAGAAAATTGCAACCAGAAAACTATTTGATGTGTATTCATGATATTTATAATCATGAGGAATTTGATTTAAATCATATCAAAGATGGACTAAATCAAGATGAAATACTACGTAGCGTATTCGGAAACTAAGTACCGTTTCATTCTAGCGCTGTGGTAGGCGTCCCGCGCATGCGCACTAGCCTTTCTTGTTCACTGACTTTCAATTGTTGCCATTTTGGTTGCTCTATGTTGAGTTTTCAGTTTGCTGTGCACATTCAAAATGTTTAAGACAATTAGTTCTCGCACTGATTGTGAGATTCGTGCCGTGATTAAATTTTTGAACACGAGGAATGTTAGACCGGCTGAAATTTATTGTCAAGTGACAGAAGTTTACGGTGAATATGCGATAAGTGATGGAATGGTGAGAAAGTGGGTAAGAATGTTTAATGCAGGTCGAACAAATGTCCACACCGAGCTCAGAGTGGTCGGCCATCTGTTGTCACCGATGATTTGGTAAGGAAAGGTGATGAAGCAATTTATGAGAACAGACACTTCACAATGACAACTCTTTCAGAGGCATTTCCACAAATTTCACGTACATTTTTGTTCGAAATTGTGTCTCACCGCTTGAATTATCGCAAACTGTGTTCCCGATGGGTTCCAAAAATGCTCACTGATGTTCACAAAACAAAGCGACTTGGTAGTGCCCTGAAATTTCTCACGCGGTACAGTGATGAGGGAGAAAACTTTTTAAGCCAAATTGTGACAGGTGATGAAACTTGGGTGTGTCATTTCACACCAGAATCGAAACAACAATTGATGGAGTGGAGACGCACTCATTCTCCGAAAAAACAAAAGTTCAAAGTGACAATGTCATCACAAAAAATCAGGTGCACTGTCTTCTGGGATAGGAAAGGCGTTTTGCTTACTGAATTTCTTCCCAGAGGTGAAACCATTAATGTGGCACAATATTGTGAGACTTTAACAAAACTAAGGCATGCCATTCAAAACAAACGAAGAGGAATGCTCAGTAAAGGAATTGTGTTGCTCCATGACAATGCTCGGCCCCATACTGCTGGTGTCACTCGATCGTTAATTCGATAGTTTCATTGGGAGCAGTTCGATCATCCGCCATACAGCCTGACTTGCCGCCGTCCGACTATCACTTGTTTCTGCACATGAAGTGCGAGCTTGGTGGCAAGCGCTTTGGATCTGACGATGACACGAAAAATGCTGTGGAGTCGTGGTTATCGAAACTGGCGGGAAGTTTCTTTGACAATGGTATACAAAAACTGGTCACCCGCTATGACAAGTGTTTGATCATTGGCAGAAACTATGTTGAAAAATAGTTTAAGACATGTATTTTCATGTAAAAATAAAATTGGATTCGAAAAAATTGTTTTACTTTTTTTTTTTTTTCCAAAATGATACTTAGTTTCCGAATACGCATCGTACATTTAGTAAGGAATTATAAGCCGAATAAAATAAAAACATCTGCCCTGAAGATAATTATAGTGCTGACAGATCAACTTCCAGTTCATTGCACGCCGCAACGTTTCCCCCCACCCCCGCAGAGCAGCGTGAAATTGATAGATTTCGGAATGGTTAGAAAAACAAAGGATATGCCTTTATCCATTTTTTGCAGCAATTCCGCTTTTTGTTTGATGGGCATTGATCGCTTTGTAGATCCTTTTTCAGCTCCAGAATCGGAAATTCTTTTTGACGTAATCGAAAGTTCAAGCTTACTTTTATAAAATTGCTCTAACAGTCTGCAAAAAATAATAAGCCGAATACAATTCGAAGGTTAAGGAACAACGCAATCTGCAACATTAACTGAAATAGATAATTAGATAATTTATGCCGTCCGTTATACATTAAACGCGCATGCGTAAACGCATATGTGCCTGCATAAATGCATATGCGCATGTGTAAACGCATTATGCTTTTACGCATACGCAGAAAGTTTGTAGCTTTGAGGTCCGGATTATGGACGTCCAGATTAATGACTTTTGACTGTAAAACAAATTCCAGATTAGGTCTTCCACATACCCATATTCGTAGGAGGATTACGTCATTCAAAATTTGGTGGCTCTATATACCTTTGTTTTATAGCAATGCGAGAAATATACGTAAGTTTATGCAGGTTTTTCATTATTTAATTTCTTTAAATATAACACAAGACGATAGTACCTTGTGGCAACAATTTAAAAATTGATTTGCCATTTGTAGTGAATCAATACAAAATGAAAACAATAGTCCTTCAGGGACAAAGCCCCTTTGGACTAACAAAAAAAAAAAAAAAAAAAAAAAAAAAAAAAAAAAAAAACGCTAATTTGCTGTAAAAATGATAATAGGGCAATAAAAGTCTGCATTTTAATATCATATTAAATTTTTAATATGCAAATAATAAAATGCGAGACCATCAATGTATTTACTAGTAAGAGAGTTAAACTTCCTACATTTAATAAATTGCATCCTATGAAAAAGTTCTAAAAACAGTTATGTATTATCTGTTTTTGCTAAAAGATGCTTCTTTTGGTATGCATTTGGGTACTTTTGGTATTCATTAAATGGAAAATTTGGTATGTGTTTTGTTGTGGAATTAAGTATCCTAAGAAATTAAGTTTTTACCGTCTGTCTTGTCTATTCAGCTAATTAGTAGTCTTATACAAAATGATGTTTGTAAGACAGTTACTGTATTTCAAGTTTATAAAAAATCTTAAATTTCATCATCAAAATTTATGTTGATTTGTAATTGTTATTGATAATATAATTTATAAATATATCAGAATGGCAGCAATAAACTTTAATAGAAAATCTAAAATGGTTCAATTCTATCTATCTAATCCATTTTATTTTTTATGGGCTATCACAGCTACCTTATCAAAATTAAAGTTTGAATTTTCGATTTTGTTGAAAAAGTTTCCAAGTCTAGAGTTGGAGCAAGCTCTGCAGAGTGAAAGCATATTTTGATGTCACTCAAGCAGAAAAAATAGCTGCAAAATGAAATAAATAAAATAAAACAAATAAAATCATATTTGTCTCAAAACTTATGTGAGGTGTATGGCATTGGAAGCCAACAGAAAAATAAACATGGAAAAATGGGAAAAAAGAGCTTTTTAAATTTTTTGTGGAATCTGCCCCTTCTCACTATGAATAATAATATTTTTTTTTACTGTTGTGCTAAAAATGGCTACTATGATAAAGTGATGGTTGAATGGCTCAGACGATGTCACAGTGAGGGTGTGGTATTAATGAATGGCCAGAATATGTTATGAGGATATGAACATAAAAAATCTGTACACATATTTGGCAGGAGAGTTAACCAAATTTAAAAATCTCCACTACCAGGCCCAATTAAAAATATCAGGTGAAAAAGCTTCAGCTGGTTTGTAAATCATTTCATACCCAAGGCTCAGCAACATTTGAAATTGGTTGGTTTACTGGCAGATGCAAAATTTGATCCAATTATAGGCGACTTTTCAGCTTACTTAAAGTTTTAGTAAAAAATAACGAAATCTGTCTTGTCCCCCCCCCCCGTGTGTACATTCATCATTCAGCTAATGAATATTGGTTGCAGAAGAGCTGATATAGACTTTTTGTAAAATATATGCTTTGTTATTATTTATTTTCCTATCATTACTTCTAACTATTAATCAAGGTAAAACAAAACTGCTTACCTTGTCCCAATGGGTTCTGCCAGGGCCACTGGTTGAATTCTCCTCTGTGCATCTCTATCTGCAAAATCTTGAAGGGAATAATCCATAAATGCTAAATACTTTTTTTACACAAACACATTTAATGAAGACGCAAACGGGTTACAGAATATTTACATAATGAAAAGTGTTTAAAATTGTGGCATGACGTAGCGTACGACTTCTCCGTTCCGAGGTCTCGTGCAATCTCTAAGCGAGAGTTCATAGTTCGAGATGACGCCACTCAGCCATCGGATCTCAGCAAGAGTTGAGTTGCAACATGCTTTTTTTTTTTTTTTTTTTTTTTTTTTTTTTCTTGCTAACAAAGGCCATTTAAGAATTTTTTAAATATCCTAACAAAATTTGCTGTATCGAGTACTTTAAAATCATGAGAGAATGAGTCTGCAAATATTTTTAAAAATGCTTCACATTAATTTATGGCCAGCTACCATATTTCATAGTAGTGATGATGATTATAGTCATGAATTTGAAGGTTGTCAAATATCTCAGGCAAAAAACAAAACCATTACAAAAACCTCCATTGATGTAAATTTCACATTATTTTTGTTAAAAACATTGGCAATAAGGCTAAATTTTCCAATTAATTGAATTTGTGAAAAATTGTGTTGAAGCAATTATAAATTAAATTATAAATTAAATTAAGTTTTCCTTTTACATGATACCCAATCATCAATTAACTTATGAATAGCAAAATATATAATATGCTTTAGGTCCTGAAAGTATTGCTTTGACAGTGCAAAAAAAAAGGACTAGGAGAATTGTCGAGAATTAAAAAATTTCACTTGACAGCTTAGTGAGAGTTCTTGACACAGCAAGTATAGGATATAAGCAATTTAACTTTGTAAACGAACTAGAAATTATGTCTATGTAAAAGATTAAAGAGAATGTATAGAAATAAGAAAGAAAAGCTTAAATAGCATAAAAAGAAACAGCTTAAATAACACTGATAGAAATGTTTAATAAAAGAAAAACAAAACAAAAATGACCTATTTGTTTAAATTTTGATTCTGTGAAAGTCATAAATGCTTCATTATTTCATAAATAATTATTTCATGTTTTTAATTTTAAGACTTACCTGTGTTATTTTACTACATTCAAACTGATGATTTTAAAACCCAGAAAATTTCTGATATCTGGAATGAGTAAAATTCTGACTTTTCTGTATCTTGGACTTCGTACTGTATATACTTTTTTATTGCATAGAAACTCTCTCATTAACTGTTTTTTGGCAATGTTTCATGGTTCTGAGAAACATTAATAGCTACCATTTCATTGTTTACAAAAATCTGTGAAGAAGAAATATGTAACATTTCAAATAGTAAACCATATCTTTAAAATTTAATGTGCATAAAGAAACACATGAAATGTTAAAACAACAAAGAAGCAGACATTTATTATTAAAAATTTTGTGCCGTACCCAGGTATGAACTGAAGTTCCTGATAGCAGATGCCACACAAGTCCTGCATAAAAAATAATTTAAGCATGTATTGTATTGTTTTCAAGTTTCTGTTAATTTAAGAAAGTTCCCATATATTCTTAAATGATAGCTTTAAATTATTTATTCTGTTTAAAATTTTTAAAAATCAATTTTCTTTAGTTACGGGAGGCTATGATAAATTTAGAAACATCGAAAAGATCACTGACGAGTCTTTTGAAGATGCCAGACAGAGTAAGTTTACTTAGCCATATATTTAAATTAAAGCTTTTTTTAACATTTTAAAAACTTCTTTGATATTTTAAAAAGTTAATAATCTTTTAAACCGGTATTTTTCTTTTTGTACAGGAACATGTAGTTCGCCACCACATGGAATATTACTATACTCCTGTGAATAAGACTTCATTTTCGTATGTATAAAGATAAAAGTTTTTTTTTTTTTTGTGGTATATTATTAGTTTATTTATGTTTTAGTCTTATATTTTGTTTTATTTTTCAGGCACAGATAATTTGTCATAGATTTCTAAATAGGCAGTGATGGTTGCAATTATGATAAAAATACAACTTTTTAACAATTACACAATTAAATAAGGGCCATATCTTCCATCTCTCACAAGTATCAGTTTTATGAAAAATCATTAAAAGCAAAATAAAGATAATTTCTAAGTTTGTCTAATTTTTGTTGGGCAAGTGGTTGGCACAAATTCGAAGTAATAATTAAATTGCTGCATATTTCAAACTTTGCCCAAATTAGCTGGCCAATTTGTAAAATGACCAGCTTTGAGCTTTGGCTGTAGTGTGTATATGTATAAATGAAAATAATGCAAAATTGAAGGTGGTGTTATTGTATCAACAACAGAATTACTAGGCTTGACTTTACCCATATCAACATTGTAATTGTAAATTTTTTTATAATTTTTTATTCAACTTATATGATAAAGAATGTTCAGACTTAAATGGCAGATTCAGCTATTTATTACTTTGAGTATATGTTGATAAGGTCTAGTTTATGTTTATTTTCCTAAGTTCTTTGCATTTTCTGAATGTGAATGTTGTGATAACATTCTTATAATTTTTCTGTTTGCACATAGGATAGCAATTGTCATACCAACTGATAGAACTCATTATTTGGTAGCAGAAGAACCAGATGTTAGTGAGAGTAAGTTTATCTGTCCATTCATAGTTATTTGCTCACATTTTTCTTGTAAAAAGACCATGACTTGTACACAAAATAAAATTATAAAGACAATTATTAAATGGGAATACATAAAATAATTTTGAAAAGAAATCAACACAATTTAACAAATTTAATAAATATGGTATGTTGGAATTAAGTTATTACAGTTCATAAAGTTCAGTAAATCCATTTGAACATATTCACGGAATGATAAAATTCTTATACTTTGATATGCATTCAGATTAAGGAACAAATTTTATCATTTATGAAACAATAATTCATCTTATGGTGTACTTGTATTAAAAATTTGTATTTGATACATATGAAGCGAATTTGCTGCCCACAAAGTCATGTAGTTTTGTCACTTTTTAGCACCAAAATTTTATTCTCTCTCTCACTTTATATATGTATATATATATATATTAAGTTGATATATTGTCAAAAGTCCAGAACTTTGAAATTCTTAACTTGTGGTGATTCTTTGATGTTATTCTGAAACAGTTTGACCCTGTGAACACATGAATTTCAAATTGTACTAAAATTGTATTGTAAATTTATTATGTCTTATGTATTATGTATCTTCAATAAATACTAAATGTGGTAATTCAGAAGTCAAACAACAAAAATCAACATTACATTTTCAAAATTTTCACAGGACTAGTTTCGATGGTTTTACCAAGCCACCATCCTCAGCTGCAAAACCGCAAATGAACAAGATAGGAAATAATGATTAGATAAGATAAGAAAGCCTGGACAAGAATAAGCAAGTAGCGCCATCTGTTGGTGAAACCAGAACTAAAACATAATTTCTTTAAAGGCCGAAGGCAAAGATGGATTGGAATTAGGATCATTAACTAGAACAGAAAGATTTTTTTGAATGTGAAGTGCCTCATTATTTCCTATCTTGTTCATTTGCAGTTTTGCAGCTAAGGATGGTGGTTTGGTAAAACCATCGAAACTAGTCCTGTGAAAATTTGAAAATGTAATGCTGATTTTTGTTGTTTTGACTTCTGAATTAGTATTTATTCGGTGTGTTATTGTGTCTTAATTACTAAATGTGGATTGTTTGGTGGGATTACATAATATGCTATAGCAAGCTGAATAAACTTTTGATCCTTTGGGAAGCTTCATATGTTCATCACCTCAGCGAAATTCAGTCATTTCTTTGTGAGCTCTTATAAAGCTTGCAGATTTGAATTTTTTTTTTTTTTTTTTCTTTTAGTTTCATTTAGTATTTGCACTTGACTTGTGGTGCACTGCTGGTGTAAAGTCACTTTCACCTGTATTTTACCTATCCAAACTAATACAAGTGGCCTGATAGGTTTGTAAGGTCATTTGTATTAGTTTTGTATCACTTGTATTATTGGCCTGATAGGCCAATACAGGGTTTGTAAGGTCCTTAAAAGCCCTTATGTTTTTTGAAATTAATTTTTGTTCCCTAAAAGTTCTTAATTTTGGCCAAAATCAGGAGAAGGTCCTTAATTTTTAACCATGTGAAATTTCTGTCTGTTTTTACAACTGCCATGTTGAGTCGGGATCAGCATTTTTTAGGAATATTTTTGGCGATTCGCTTTTAAATATGGTCATCTTTTGAATAGGTTCATGGTTTAAAGTTTGTTCCAATTTTTAATATAAATCATGGGATACTTGATTTTCTGGGCAAGAAGTGAAACATGAGCATTTCAAACTTATTTCATTTTTTCTAATGAAGAGTGCTTTATACAACTTTTCACTTTTGAGGATGTGGATTCTTTTATTAGACAATTCTAAATTTGGTGACATATCAGCATTTTGGCTATTTTAAGATCAGTTTCTATAGAAAATTTTTAATTCAGAGATTTGGGATTTTTTTTCAAATATTCATTGCATTCATAAATTTTATTAAATTGATGGTAATATATTGAAATTGTATGTAAGAAATAACATTGAAACAAATCATTTTTATTTTTCTCTGTCATATTATAAAGTGACATTGCTTTCCGTTTTGGCTACTTATTATACAATATTTTGAATCTGAAAATAAGCAAGGTAATAAATGATATAAAGAACAATTTTTAGTGAAAACAAAATACTATGTAATTAGTTAAAAGTGTCTTGCTTTTAATTTTTTTCATGATAAGAGTTTTTCCTGTGTAATTGTCCCAGAGTATTTAGAATACTCAGAACATGCATGTTTTCTGAGTAAAATTAGTTTTACAATCTTTTCCCAACTTTTTTTTTTTTTTTTCTTTGCAAAATATGTTTAGCTTTTTCCTGTTACAGAATTGGTAGAGGTAATTTTTCTTTAGGATTTTAGACATTGCAACTTGGAAAGTTTAGAAGGATTTGAAAACAAGTTTTAAATCCCATGATTCTAGAAGATTCCCAAAAAATGTGGCAAAATGAAAAAGATCTTCATGGTATTAACACATAATGCATGTATTTTACAGAAAGTTTATGATGAATTCCGTACTGTTTGGAGAATTTTTGGTAGAACACTGAAAACATAATATCTGAATGTTTTAAACATGTTTATCTTCCCTTTGTTTTCTCATCACTAGACGCAAGCGTGGAAAATATCAAAAATGATTCTAATCTTATCACATGGACAGGCATTTACAGAAAGGAATTTTTCTATTAATAAAGAAATTGAAAACTGATAATTTAAAAGATTCATCTTATATGTCTTAATACATCCTACACAGGGCTGGTGCTGGACATTTTCGCATTTGATGCAATCTCTGTGAATCCAAAATTTTGCTGTTTAGTGCTTTCCTAAATTCGGCTTCCAGTAGTCCTAAATTCTAAAAGTTTTGCCATTTCTAGATTCTGTTGCTCAGTGTGTCACTAAATTCTAAAAATTCTGCCACACCAACTCTGTAACCAGTCCTTACCGTATATCATTTCATATTACTAAATAAAATTAGCAGTTTTTTCTATACATTCTAAATACATTAACTTTTAGAATATAGAAGTATTTAATCAAATCCAAAAATTCTGAAATGAAGGGGAAATGTATTGAAGAAAGAAACTGAATACATAAAGAGAAAAAATAAATCTGTAGTATGGTTCTAGATCCAGGAAATATGGCTACAAATAGTAAAGAAAGTGACAGAGAAGTTATTAACAACGAAAAAATTTTGATTGACCAGTTAGAATTCTTGACGCAGCCAAATTACAGAACTTGGAACAATGGAACTTTGACTCTACAAAAAAAATTATGACTGTCTACATAATTAAAGAGAAAGTATTAGCATAAAGAATGAAGCAACTTAAACAACTTATATTGAAAGAAATGTTTAATAAAGTAAAGAAAGCATATTAAGCTTTTTTTGTTGTTGTTGTTGTTGTAAATTTTAATACCCGTTAGATCATAAATGCTTCATTATTTCATAAATCACAAACTCATATTTTTTATTTTATAATTTCTACATGGCATCGTACTAGATTTAAACTGATGATCTAATATCCGGAACTGCCGAAGTCCCAACAAGTCCGGATCTCAGACTTTGTACTGTAGAGTATAAAAGTAATTAATATCAGAATATCTTGAAGTGACAATTAATTCCAATATTCCAATAGTAACTTCTAACCAGCATGAAACATTTTCATGCTGATTAGAATTTACGGAAAAAAATATGCAGATCAGATTTTAACAAAACAAGTTATGTTTCTTTCAGTTATTCCTCCCAGTTGCAATTTTCTGATACATGACAATAAAATTACAAAATATACCTAATTTACACAAGTTTGTATATCATTTTGAGGTAAAATATAAGGAAGAGATATCAAACCAAATTTAAATTATACGTTCAGTGGGGTACATGAAAGTTCTGGCAGCTGGAAATAAGAATTGGTGATGCTGCTGTAATATTGCTTACAAGTGATCATCTTAGTTTAGGACTGAACTATTTTAAATGTATAAGAAATTTGGAAACACTAACAGTTAAATTTTGTAATGGAAAATTTCTATAAATTGCAAACTTCTTGGCAGAAAACTATGTTATCGTAATTAGGATATGTGGAATGTGTATGCAGATCTCGTTTTGCTGGAGTATTTTATTTTGTCCATCTTATTCATCAAATCATACAGGGAAAACATAGATTAGCTTGAGAGAAGGTTTTATTTATTTGACTACTTTACTTCTCCCAGGATTCTTTTCTTTTAGGACATACGTGCAATGCATCTTTGTAGATTCAACAGTTGTTCTATGTTGTTTCCCCTCCCTCCAATCGCAGGCATCTCGCTGGTTAGTTCATCATGAAATCCACTAAACAGTCATTTCTTTTAATCTAATTCAGTGTTGCATTAATTTAAATTTGATAAGTGGAACACTTTTTAATGTTCACTTTTATCATGGAACTCCTGGTTTGCTTCTGTAGCATGGTTTTTAATGAAACATTCTCTGAATGGATTATTTACAACAAAAATAACAATTTTTTCAAATAATATTCATTTTCTTTAAAAAGTAATTTCAAAATTAGCCCAAAAGCTCTTAAATAGTTTGAAATAATATATTCCAATAGCTCCTTAAATTAATTTAAGGAGGTTTTTATTTTCTCAGATACACTTAATATTAGGTTTATAGGATGAAAGGTGAATTCTCATGTCATATTCGGCATCAAGTCAGTTGCAGTATTTATTTTTTATCAAGGCATACAGCTGAGCTTCTTTTTCAGCTGCAAATGATAAAAGTACTAACCCAACTCTTTGACAAGTTAGAATATGCATTCTTTAAACTGCACCAGATTTCCACTAATGGCATTAATTTAAATTGTTCTTGCAACGATGAATCAGATGTCATTTAAATAAAAATTCCGTTTTTTTTTTTCTGCTGATATGGTTGAAGGTCACCTATTGACAATAAATGGTTATATTTGATATATCTTTGAAACGTAGCATCAACACAGACTGAGCGTCAGTGCGTTTATTGTTACTATTCGGTAAGTAATCTTCACTGTGACTTTGAAGTTGCAAGTAATTTTGTGTTTATTTGCATTATGTTTTTGTAAATTCATTAACACTGAATTTTATGAAAGTTAATGATCTTTCAGGCAATTCCTTCAATAAATGTCTCTCCTATTTCATCCCTTTCCTCTTCTGAAATGTGTTTTATTGTTTGGAAGCAGTCAAATTACTTGGAGTGCTGACAGATTGTCCAAAATTCTTTTTCTTGAAAGCAAGAATTTTTTCGGAGCTGTAAATAAATTTACTTGTTTGCCATAATGTTCAACTTTTAAATTTTAATGAGATGTTCATTTATCTCTGTAATAATATCGCTTAAATAGGCAATTTTAAGCGGCCTCTTTCTATTAGATAATTGACTTTTCAATTCAAAATTGCATTTGGAATGAAAGCTTGCACCTTTTCCCTTAGCTCAAAATTATGGTTTGGTATCTTTCTTCGAGATAACCATCTGTCTTCAGTATGTAAAGAGATGTGTGTACACTTCCCACGTCTTCACATATTATTTTGAATGAAGAATTAAGTGATCAAAATTATATGAAGTTAATGACTATCAAGCCTTATCAAGAGCAGTCTTGTAACTGAGGTTATAACGTTTTTGAAGCAAATGCCATCCAGTACATAATGCAGTAATTACTAGAACAGATTTTGGCAATAATATTTATGAGCTGTACAGACCCAGTAATTATGCCACTCATGGACTTTGCTCCATTGGTACAGATACCAGTACAGTGGTCCCATGATATCTATGTGTGTAATCATTGGAAAATAAATGTTTGTCTATTGTACTGGTTGGATTTCCTTATAATTTATGTTTAGATTCTTGAGGTATTTTGATTTTGAATGTTAATCTCATGGAAAAGAATGTGTTATGTGATGTTATAATAACCAAGAAAGTTCATCAAAAAATTTAAATAGAAAACTCTCAATCAATTTATGTTTTGTAAGACACTCATCAGGGAGTGACTAATATCCTGGCTCCTCGCTGTACCCTTTTATAATCAAATAAACGCGACTCTTCTGTATCTTTAAAACTGAGCATGTCCCTGTATTTCTAGATTTGTGGGATTTCCCATGTGTAGCGATCAGTAGAAAAATGAGCCAGAGAATCATCAATAGTGGGATTTGGGGGATTCCTCAGCATATTTACTGTAGAATACTAAAAATTGTCCCAGTGGAGCAGTCACAACTCGGGACGTTGTACTTACTTTTGAATTTGCATCGACTATCCGAATTAGGAAGTTGAAGTGAAGATTAGTTCTTATTCTGCTTTTTAAACTTTTTAGCAACATTTTTTTTTTTTTTTTTAGTTATTTTTTTGGACGAAGTGCATAAGTTTTGTTTGCTGAACCCTTGAACGATCTGCATGGAACCCCAGGGTTCCGTGGAACACAGTTTAAGAAATGCAGATCTAATTCTTTAGTGAAAAATGAAAACACTTTTTTCCCTAAAATATTGCATGCTCTAATTTTTTTAGTTATGTATTAAATATGTACATTCTTCCATACCTTTAAAACTGCTATTTAAATGAAATTAGAGAATACAAGAAAAATTGAAAATTCTTGTTTCTCTGCCACTTGATTAAAAAGCACTAATATGCAGGGCCTTTTCAAAAAGGAAGGAATAAAAAAAATAATACGCTATTCAGCATGTATGACTGATGGTTGTTAGAAAGAAGAAACAAAATTTTTGCACAAAAAGCTAAGAAAATGCAATAGGTTTAGTTTTAAGTAAACTTTTTTTTTTTTTTTTTAAATCTTTCTTTCAGTTTTAATTCAAGTGATTTATTTCATGTTATAGATTGATTATGTGTATTTAGAAAGTTGCTTTGGTGTATTCCATGATCAAAATATAATCTTTCAGCATATGCTCAAAATTACTTAGCCCTTTGCTTGAAGAATTTTGAAATAACCATTTGGTTCTAATTTGATACATTGTAGCATGTTAATTGAGGAAGCACGTTTTTTTCCCCTTGCGAATGGCTCCAAACAAGATTTGTCAACAGTGTATAGTACTTTGTTATTATGTAGAAGCTTCTTTCTCAAGTTGTTCTTAAGAGGAAGTTGTGTGGTTCACAGTCAAAGAAATACCACAACAGCCCAATGCAAAAGCACTCTTTGTGTGTGACTAGAGAAAAAATGAAAGCAATAAATTTTGTGAATGACACACTTTCCCACTAACGTTTTCATAAGTATTAAGGGCATATATTTATTACATGTAACCATTGGATGTTTTCTGTTAGAGGATAACATGTGCTAAAATATTTTCTGTAGAAAGACATATGTGCCAACTTGAAGTCTATTGTAGTGCCAATCTTTATTATATTCTCATTTATATAAATTCATTCACTGTATAAAGATTAAAAAGAACTTTTTTGAAAAACCTCAGTTAACATTATCACCTATTAACAACTGTTGAATTAAATGTATCATTCTTGTCTGTTATAACAGTGTTCATGCTTGTAAAGTAAATATTGTCAATAAAAAGTTTTTAAAATGTGTCATTTTGTTTTATTTTGTTATATGTTGAAATAATTAATCTAAGAAATATATTTTTAAGATTTAGAAAAATTTTACCAAATTCTGCTGTGTGCTTTTCTGTTAATGAAAAAGACCCCAAATGTTTTTATTGAAAAATTGTCTTTTTGTTTTAAACAATTTTTATCTTTCAATTTACATATATAAGTACAAAATTTGATAAATATTTAAAATATAGATTTTAATGTGTGAATTAATAACTAATAAAGAGCTAGTATGAATTTATGGGTCCATTTGTATTTGTACATACTACTAAAAGACATTGCATATTTCATACAGATGTATGTGTTTCTAAGCTTTAAAAATATTTCTTACTGTAATTTGATATATTTAAGGCATTATAATATTTCAAATCCTTACAGGTTTGAATTTATTGGATTTTCAAATGTTGGGAATGCATATTGCTCCATGGTAATGTGTTAAAATCTTTTAAAATTTCTCTCTGATTGTCTATGTTATGGATGATCTTTCTATTATGTTTAAGTTTTTTTTTTTTTTTTTCTTATTTCTTTATTTGGTATTCATGTGTGTGTATGCATAGACTTGTATGCGATTGTGATTTGCAATAGTCCCTTAGCTCTCATTTTTAATTTTGTTATTTCTCTAAAAATCCTAAAAATAGTAACATATTCATTATAAGTCTGCATTCGTTATGCATCATTTCAAGATTAATCACTGTCAAATTGATTCTTATATAACCTCCATGATATAGGCATTTATGTATTGGCTACACATTCATGATGTAGGCTTTTATGTAATGACGAATCATGTCAGATTTGGGGAAAGAAATAAGTAAATAAATTTAATTAAAAGAAATAAAGCAGAACTCTAGTAACTTTTATATTGTAATCTGAGCATTTCTTTTTCAGCTTCTCTGTCCTACTCATGCACAGTTTCATCTTAATGTTTCCTGGTTTATCTTACATTTTATTCTCATTCGTATGTTTCCATATTAACACTATTTTCATTCTTTTTGCCTACAGATTTTTATGGATTGTAACTCTGGGTGAGGGATATTCACATTAAAATTCTTCTCAGGAACTTTTTAATTAATTATTTTATCTTGCCTTATATCTTATCCTTATGTAAATTTTAAAAAAATCTATTATGTTTTGAAATTTATTTTCATGTTTTGTTTATATATGAATATCATATTTACACACATATTTCCCCCTAGCATTTTAGTTCCATGTTCTGAAAATTTTAATATTCCCATTATTTTCCTCTTTCTCCGTGCATTCAGAGAATGAACCCCCTAAATTTTAAAATGATTTCATCCATATAATGATCATTTTCATCTTACTAACAAAAACTTTCACAAATGCATAACTTTTTCCTTCTAATTGAACTTAATGCCTGCCTAATGCAACCACTGAACAATCTCAGCAAAGCAAACACAGACTGATATTTAGTCTAAGATTTTACTGGGTCAGCTGTACATTAACCTTCTCTAATTGTTTTTGGATAATTTAAGGTCTAAGGATTAGCAGAGACAACAGTAAGAATGGGTGAGATATAAGTTATAGGGAAGTAGAAGTAAAGATATCTGATTAGATATTGTAATGTTAATATATTTTTCTCTGAATGTAGGTTTCATTTAAAGAAATAATATTGTGATAACCTGTAGTTTTTTCATGACTGCTTTTCATTTTATATATTCTTTTGTAACCACGTCCTTTGAAAATTAAATTATTTGCATAATTTTCGTTTTTTGATTTTGGTATGATAAGATTGTAGTAAAAGGGGGGATCCATGAGGGAATATGGTATATAAATATGGTGTGTATACATAGATACATAATATATATGTGTATGTGTGTTAAGAGTCAAAGTTTGCTGTAATGAACCTCAAGGTGTTGAAAGTTTGACTCATTGCATCTGTTAGTTCTCCCTACTTAAAATCACACAAAAGGGGATTATTCTGTAAAAAAAATAAAAAAAATAAAAACTGATTGATGAATGACAAAAGAATTGATTAACACTGTTGTCACATCTACCAAAAGATATTAATATCATATTTTTCAGTGATTATGTCAAGGTTAATTATAATTATTATTTTATACAATATTTGCATTTGTCTTCATTCTTTTTTTAATTTCACCATACAATAATTGCACCCAATAAAGCATGAAAGTTGTGTGTCAGATCTTCCTTCAAAATGAGTAACTTCCTCTAAAATACTTGTTTATGTCTGTTAATAATCATTTTCATGAGACAATATTATCTAATACCTTTGTGAACTGGTTTTCAGAGAGTTAGGTATCAATTCCTGCTGTAAATAACCTTTCTTTAAAATACCGATAAAAGTGGGTTGTGAAGATAAAAGTAACATAAAGGTGTGTTTGATATCCTAATAGCCTAAACATGAGGATTTTAAGGATTAGTAATTCTAGAAAAATAATATGAAGAAGACAAAAATGCCATTAAACAAATTCATTATGTATGGTTTATTTATAATCTGGGGCTCATCATACAAAATAACATTAAGTGTACAGGAAACTGAAGGTGGCAAAAATGTTTGTTTGTTGTATATGAGAGTTTTTTTATAAACTATAACAGGTTTGACTTTATGTGTATATGTGTGTGCATGTTTAAAATAAGGAAAAATACATAAAGCAAACTTCTGATTTCAGTTGTAAATAGGCACTTATATTCTTTATTTTAATTTGGCTCCTTTCTGTCGCCCTGCAGCCCTAAAAATTGCTGGTGCTTATAATATATCAATCTAAACTGTGTTATTTCAAATTAATCCACATCATATAATCTTACATAGTGCTGCAATGCAGGTACATTTAGCCAATAAGTAAAGAAGATTTCAAATGAAATTGAAATATTTTGTGTGTTAATGATGCATTAATCAGAATATGTGTCTCAAGAATTATTTTGTCCAGAAATCATTTGTGTTGAATCTACGGTCAATTAGTCTGCAAGCCCCATCCTTCTACTCTCCAGTTATACATTCTGTATAGCGGCACCATCTACAACCATAAGCCATAATTAAAATTATTTGTATCTTCCCTCACAGTCCTAAATTATTAGGTAAAGAAAGAAAACAAAATGAAAATGGAAGTTAACATAAAATATATGAAATGCACATGAAAATGCAGTAATATAAAATAGTAAAGATTTAAATTTGCTTCTTTATATCAAAAATTCGCATTCTCTTTATGCATTTCCTTGAAGCACTGAAAAGGAAAGATAGTGTACATGCATTTAAAATTGCACTAGAAACTCAATTGTGTGTATATATGAAACACTGATTTGGTTGTGTAGATTGAAGACATTAGCAATAGAAGAAGTGTGTTGAAACAGTACCGGCCAGGGTCTACTATGTACCAACATATTGAATCTTAGCTTTATATCAATGTGCCTGAACTGAAAGTACTATTATTTTCAGATAGCAGCTATTCTGCATGGACATCTTTCCGGTGGCTAGATTTGTTTTTTATATGGTATTTAAGAACTAGCTTTTCTTACAGCATCCTTTACAAAAGCATACTTCTGAAAGATATAACCATTGATTCTTTTGTTTAACTTAAATAAATTACCTAATCAAAGCACAACAAAATTTAAGGTTTTTCTGCTTTCATTCAAAAGAAAAGTTATGCTGGGAAGGAAAGATTTACCTGAAGTATAGAAAGTGTATTAAAAGGAAATGAAACTTTTATACTGTGTGCACAGAACGTGTAAAAACTGGGATTAAGCTAAAGAAGTATTAAAGACTTATGGTTAAACCTTGATTCATGAATTTGTTCCTGAAGGCCGTTTTTCACCTGAAATGTTTCTGAATGCTTTTCTTTTTATTTGAAACTGAGGCTGTTTTCTTATAGGAATTAATGCATTCTTATAGGAATAAATGCAATTAATTTGTTCCTGTACTACAAGTGATTGTTTCTGTAAACTTCGCTTATGTATAGTCCAGGTATTAATTAACTTTGTGCACAAGTCCATAACCCCAAAGTAATAGAAATCATTAAATGTAAAGCAAAAAACAGATAAAATAAAGGAGAAAATAATTTAATTTTACTGTACCTGTCTGAAAAGTATAGCATAAGTGGAAAATGATAAAATTCTCTTCCACAATAACACCAGGTAACTAACTGTCTTTAGAACACATCTTTTATTATTTATTTGTTTCCAAATATTGCTTAATTCTGCTTGAGACTCGGTGGACCTCTGTTTCAAACAAAATTTGTCCAATGTGATTTATTGTAACCTATGATCTAAAATGTTTTGAAAGTGAAACATGGCATTGTCCTTGAAAACTGTACCGTGTAGGTTGCTACTACTTTATCAGCATGATTTGTTGGGTGTACAAATAAGTTTTGAGGGATTTACATAAGTAAAGTGCCAGCATTTCCTTCTAAAAATCAGTCTGTTTCATTTCGCTAAAGTGAAAATAACAACTTTTCTACCAACAAAACAAAATTTGCTGGAAGTGCTTCTTTTTTGTTTTAATGTGAAGAAAACTGCAGCTGATGGGCGTCGACTGCTGTGTGAAGCACATGGGAAACATGCTAAAAACATGTGAGTACTGGCTCTGGTGCCTTAAAAGTGGCGATTTTGACAGCGACAAAAAATGCAAAGGAAGACCACTAAAGTTTGAAGACTCTGAGTCAAAGGGGTCATTGGACCAAGATTCATGCCCGATCACTGGAGACTGTTACAAACAACAGTTGATGCAACTGAGCTGAACATTGAAGCTCAAATGCCCTCCAGTATGTCAAAAGACATGACAAAGTGATCTTTCAGCACAACAACGCTCGCCCACATGCTACAACAGTCGTCAAGGAAACTTTGGAGGCATTTCAATGGGATGTCCTACTCCACCCACCGTATTCACCAGACATTGCTCCTACTGACTTTCACTTGTTCTCATCGATGACTCATGACTTGGCCGAGAAGCACTTCACTTCATACGAAGAAGCCAAAAATTGGGTCGGTTCATGCATCACCTAAAAAGATGAGGATTTTTTAAACACCGAATTCGTATGCTACCTGAAAGATGGGAAAAAGTCGTAGCTAACAATGGACAATACTTTGAATAAAATACATACTTCCAATTTTTCTGAATAAAGCTTTAAAGTTACAAAAAAAAAAAAAAAAAGGACTTCAAAACTTATTTGTACACCCAATAGTTTTATGAAAACTTTGCGTTTTATACCCCGTTTTGCACAAATTTTGTGAAATAGAGAATTAGGATATCTTTTCTCCCTCTTCTTCTGAAGACATTTCCTACAATTTACATCTGTTGCTGCTTTTTAAATTATTGTAGTTCTTGTTAGGGACACATTATCATGGATAACAAAAAATATCCCAAATGTTGAATGGTCAGAGTTTCTGTGTGCATCTCAGTCTAGCCGTTATTTTCTCCAGGCCTGTACATTACTTGCTTTCAAGTTTTGTTAATAAGAGTTGAGGAATAGAAAATATTAAAATATTTCCCGAGTGTTAGTTACGTAGCATGGGTTTCCGAGACACTTTTGGATATTATATGCTGCTGATGTGAGTGTTCTTAGCACATGAAACCTTTTATCATCTGAGACATTTTATGTTTAGATCATTTGTTTGTCAATCAAGCTGTTTATGAAGTGAGAAATCACAATCCATATTTCCACTTTATTACATTTTAGTAAAATTCACTGGCAAGTAGAGCTCTATAAACAGTGCATTAGTGTTTTGATATTAAGCCAAAATGTTATTTCTATTTAGTTGGCAATAATCAGATTGACTGTACAATTTAACTTTTGAGTTTTCTTTTTTATATTTAGGAAGTATTGTCATGGTGCAATTTTGAAGATGACAACTCCAGAAATAATGAGCAATTTATCCAAATCTTCTAGAGAAAATCCTAAACAATGTAAGAAATTTGTTACTGTTAATGTAAAATGCTTTATTTAATTTTTTTTTATATTATAACATTTATATATATATTTTTATATTATATTATTTATATTATAAAATTTCTTAATGCATAGGCAAAATACAGCTCTTGCAGAGACTTGCTTGGGATATTCGTAAAACTGAAGACATAATAGATTATTGGCAATCTGAACAGCAAGAAGGCAAACGGTATGTATGATTGTGTTTCTTTAAATATAACCTATAGCCCAGATGTATATTTTTTAAGCAGAACTGGCTTTCTGGTATATTTGCAAAAATGGATAGTTTCACAGAGATAATGAAGTAAAAGAGTCATTGCATCCAAAATAAGAAAAAGTAGTATGGCTACCACTATTAGTTGTTCATTATTTAAATCAAGTTCCTCTGACTATTTTGGGTTTTCTCCAAAATTGTAACTTTTTTCCCTTAAATTTGTCATAACCTAAATTGCATGGTAATAATGTAGTTAATCGTAAGTTCATTTCCTTGAGAAGTAGGTAGGCTGCATATGGTTTTTATAGTTTTTCCTGTCTCTAACATGAGTACAAACTAATTCCCTTTGAAAAATTCTTGTGAGGGCATTTCTTAGGCAGATATATTGTGCAGCCAAAAATGACTGGGTACCTTTCCACTCCAAGTGAACTTGCACTTTATAATGTCAATGTACATAATCAATGTTATGCAAATGAAATCACAAATACTTTCATTCATAACCTCATTACAAATACTGCAAACAGGTGTGACTCATAAAGAAGAAAACATATTAATTCAACATCAATGTTTACTTCTCTATGAGACATTATAGTTCCATTATTTATTGTTTGGATTTGTTAGCACATATTTAAATTTTCTTCTCATTGTCTATGTTCAAATCTGTTTTTTCTTCTTTAATTCATATTTTTGAAATATCTATGTAATTGCCTTTATATTTGGTTTTATGGTATTTTTCCCTTACAGAAAAGGAGTTGTTGCTACTTTTGTTCAAACTGAAAGTGGCTTAACACGAATATATCCTCCCAGGTTTGTAACCCAGATATATGTATAAAACCTAAGTATTTAATATTTTTCCCTTTTTATGTAATATGAATTACAGTTATGTTTAAAATGTATGAAAAATTTCAAAAATATTAATAAATTTTGCAAGCTTTGCAATTAATGCATGCTTCAGGGATAACTTTTCATATTTTTCTATTTTTTCTGAACATGTTATGAAGCCTATATTTTAAAATTGATTAATATATTACAAAATCATGTAATAGTATGAATTTGATATTAAATTCCATATTATTTCAGCATTTTTTTAAACCAAATGTGCAGATTTAAAAATCTGTCATGCTTGTGTTCAGAAATAATGGCATATTATATTCTGATTCAGATTTCCTGTTATGAAACTAGTTACCTCAATACAAGGCTCTCAAACTCAGATTGTATGAGGGCCAAAGTCACTAGGTGGCTGATATGCTGGATTTAACAGAATTAAAATAATAATAATAATAATAACTAACTACATTTTAAATTTCACAAAATGTTTATCAGAACAAAATATAAACAATGATAATGTTAATGCAAAGGAAAAAATTTTAAGTTATATTTACTTTTGGTTTAAATTTTAAAATTTGGTATGTGCAAGAAGTTTCTGTTGGTTATGCTTTGCATTTCAAACTTCGAGTTAAATATTGCATTTTAAGATTGACATTTATTTCAAATTGCAAGTGCATTGAATTAACCACTAAATAACTTATTGGAAAGAAATAAATGAAGTTTCCAGAGAAAACTTGAGAATAAATAATAACAGTAAAATTTCTTTCTTTCTTATCATTAAATTTTTCTCTGACACATGTAGAAAACATACATATGTACATAAATAATTGTATCTATTTCTTACTAAAATTGATACTCGATGGCATTGTGATTCTGATAGTTTGTAGCATTGGATAAAATGTAGTAGAAACTATCTTTATAGAAAAAATATATAAAGATAATAGATGCTTACTTGTCAATTGAGTTCTTTTCTTAGACTGATTAAATTTCAATTGAAAAAAAAGTCTGTTCATATAATAAAGTGCTTCCTAATTCCATATTCCTAATTCCAATTTCCATATTCTTAAGATTTTCCATTTGAAATAATAAGTCAGGATTTAAAATGTAGAAAATGTAGAGTTTTTTTTTTTTTTTTTTTTTTTTTTTGTTTTTGTTTGTTTGTTTGTTTGTTTGTTCTAGTTGTATTACAATTTAGTCTTTTCAAAATTTATTTTTCCCTTACAGCTTTTTATTAAGGGTATTTAAATGGTCAGTTAACAAAAAGTGCTAAATAACAGTCATATGAATCTTGGCATGTGAATGTGCAGTGAGGAATCCCCAACCTATTCATTTCATTTGTTTCCTCTTCAATAGTGACTGTGCACATAAGTCCTGTCACTATCACTGTCAAACAATAAGCACTATTTCCAATAATTCCATAACTGAAATGTATTTGTTGGCTGTGTAAAATTGCTTTGGGTACTGCTAGTTTGAGTGAGTTTGATCCAGGTGATCTTTTTTTAAATTAACAGTTTAAAAACTTGGATACAGTAATTTAATTTATCCTGCAAATCTTTTTTCTTCCTTAATGTGCATGCCCTGATAGTCAATAAAATTTTTAATCTAAAAATAGTTTGAATTTAAAATGTTTGAAATAGAGTTACATGAAAGTATCTATCTCTCTCTCTTCTTTATTAACAATTGTACCCTCTTTTACAGTGATAGTATGGGAGTTTCAATTCATTCATAGATACATTTTTTATATGATAGTGTTTTGTGGGAGGGGTTATGCCGAATGCTAATTTCATCATATCAGAAATACTAAAAGCTTCTTTAGAACATGAATGCTAGTTTGCTTCACACTATAAAAAATTATTTACGAATATAGATATTGGCACAAATACCATTTAATATAATAATGGATTTTAAAATTATTAGTGAATTTTTGTTTGCATGGATTGGATTTATTGCAAAAGAAGTGGAGCATGCTTTGAAAATTTTGCTGTTCATTCAACATATCCAGATTTTTTTTTTTTTTTTTTTTTTTTTTTTTTTTTTTTTTTTTTTCAGTGAAGTACATTACCTGGGAAATCAAACCAATCCATCTAGATCACTGATATTTCAAAGAGCATTTTATGGAGATGATTATGTTTTCTTACCTCCTAAAGATGAATGTAAGTTGTTTTAGTCATTAACATGAAACTGAAAGAAGCTTTCATAATATTGTAATTTATTGTAACAAAGTAGTTCCCCCCTTCTACCTTCTGTTTGTAATTAGTTTGCATGTTAAGAAAGTCTTCAAGTAAAGGATTTGTTTGTGTTTATTTTCTTCTCCTTCATAATTGTACTTCATTCCCCTTAAAAATATATGAAAAAGGAAGAGAATTAAAAAAATAATTTGATTTTTAATTTTCATGTCTTTTTTGTGTCTAAGTTATAACGAACAAAATCCCAGTACTAACATCCCATTAAAAATGTATGTGTAAATGAATTATATTCTTATTAATTATCATAATTTTATATATAAATTTGTGTAATTTAGTTTTATATTAATTTTATGTATTTATTTTACATCTTTATTTTTGCAATATATTTTATATGTGTAAGGGATTATAAAAGGTAATTAATGATCAAAATTCAAGATATCAGATCACAAAAGTTGTGCAACATAACATTTGAAAATATAGAAATTAGCACATGTATAAAATGAACAAATCGAAGGTGCCATCAGGAAAACACCCGACCACACAGTGCTTGCATCTGCCAACGTGCTCTACAAGATATACAGATGCTTTCCTGGCCACCGTACTCTCCTGACCTGTCACCAATCGAACATGTGTGGGATGTGATCGGACGCTGTTTGCAGACTGTGTCTCTGGTTCAGAAGACGAACTGTGGCAAATGGTTGAAAGGGAATAGAGAGCCATTCCTCAGGACACCATCTGCACTCTTATTGACTCTATGCCAAGGCGTGTTTCTTCGTACATCGCTGTCCACGGTGGTCCTACATCCTACTGAGCTGACGCCGTTCTCACTCTGTATTCTGACTATCATTTCAAATTAAAGATTACTTATTGCTGCTTGCTGTCTCTGTCTTTTTTCCAAATTTCATCACTTTCTGACCACTCCTTCTTGGTGTTGCATTTTCAATGTCGAGCAGTGTATGTTGTGGCATGCTGAGTGAGACAATAAACATCTGTAGAGGCTTGGCTAGGTTTTACTGTATGATTGATTACACACATAGAAAAGGTTGATTTTAAATAATAAACATTTAATTGCAACAATTACCATGTAACTACTCATTAAATTAACATTGCATCGGAGGATAAATCCAACCAAGCGCAACAACAACAGAGCATTAAGAAGTCTTTTTAGCACATCCTGAAATTCTCCATTACAGTTACAGCTAGAGATTCGGGCACGTGGTTGCCAAGTAACAAAAACAAGTTCCTTTAGTATCACCACAATTAAATCTGTTAAATCATCCTATGTCTTTATTGCAAAATTGTAGTTTCTTTCTTTTTTTTCCCCTTTGGGTGCTTTTGCTTTTAGTGTTTTTGATTTGTAATAATGTACATTTTGGATATAAAATTGTGAAATTTATTTTATGGAGGATTTTCAGGGATACTGGAGCTGTTGTCTGTTCTTTTATGAAGAACACAAGTTTAATGCTTTAAAACTTCGATAATATTGAAACTTTTCACACCTTTGGACTCTGGACATTGCGTTAATGAAATCTAGAATGGAATTTGTGAGAATACAATTTTTGCTTACAGTTTCTACATTTTACACAATGGGAGTGTTCCTGAGATTCTTTTGAAATTCAAAGCTAAATATTTTTATGACTAAATGTAACTTATATTGGAATATATATTATTAGCAACATTATGTTAATTTTATTTCCAAATGTATGTTTTGCCCACAGTAATCAAATACATAAGCATTAAAAGCTCATAAACTTTTCTGTAATCTTCAGCATTAGCGGAGTTCTATCTTGATCATTCTCAATAACATTAAAAGTAATTATGATTAGGTAAAACAAATTTATTGTTGTGATTGCCTTTAAAACAACTAAATGTGTCTTTGAATTATAAATTACATTGTAATTATGTAATCAGTTTTACAATCTCTAATTGTACAAAAGATGTAATGAGGGGCTATGACCACTTTATAATAACCATTTTCTTCAATTCTGAATGCTGTGCGCTAAATCTTTGATAAATTCATAGTTTATTATGTTTAATTTTCATTTAATTACTCCTAAACTCTAGAACAGCTATTGAATTCATTATAATTAATCAAATTATCAGCATAGGTATTTTTATTTAGTAAATGATTTGGTAACATTTTTCTGATTAAATATTAGCAACCTATCTTTTATTTTTTGAATGGCTAAAATCCTTGTTTGCTATATGTATTTATTTCATTACCTTTACATAAATGAGTAAGATAATTTTTTAAAAAAACATTCTTGGTTATCTCATTGTATTTTTACCTTTACATAAATGAGTAAGATAATTTTTTAAAAAAACATTCTTGGTTATCTCATTGTATTTTGCTGTAAGTAAAAGTATTCATTCTCACTTAATTTGCTAATTCACTCAATATGTTTGATCAAAAAAATTGTTCTGTTTAGCTATGGAAACTCAGGGAAACTAAAAGTTTAGTTCCTTTTTGTAACCCTGCATGAATATGTTAAGACATCTGGATCTTAACAATATGTTTATTTATAGTTTGTAGATATTTATAACATTTGAAATTTAATTATGCAACCTATGTATATGTAAAATAACCAGCATTTAAGAAGCTATAAATTGCTGTATTGGTAATTTTTGGCTAAATGTGAATGAAAACTGGAATAAAAATATATTGTACTGCTTATTTTTATTTGATTCTTTGAAAAATAAAAGAAATTTAATGAATGCTTTGAAAATGTTATTTTTTATATGCAATGGTGTGAGATTATATTTTGACATTTTATACATCTTAGTGTTTGTTTATAGTGTAATAATAAAACATAAGTCAAATATATGAAGACATAGTTTTAAGGGTGGTTAAAACTAGAGTCTTGATAGATAGCTATGTGTTCCAATTTTGTTTTAAGTTTTATATTGGCATATTTGCAAGAATGTTTGAAAAAATCATTATGTTTATGATACAATGGTACTTTGTTGATTCTGTACTAAAATATATCTCTTGCTTACAGTTTCTACAATTTTTTTAATTTTTGTAGATGATCCAGTTTCTAATGAAAGTGAAGCTGTAATTACTGTAGTGAAAAGTATTTCTTTTGTTCGCCATGGCATTTCATATAAACCTGCTGGTATGCTTATTTTTTAATATCATCTTTTATTGTAGCTATTTAAATTAACCTTTCACATCTATGTCTTTAATTTCATTGCTAGTTTATTAAAACAATTAATGTATAAATATTATGAGGATTTTAGTACATGTTTACAATTTTTAATTTTTTATTTATTTGTTTATTAAACAGTAGTAAAATTCTTTTCTTATTATGACCTGAAAGCAAGCATAATAGTTATTGCATGTGAAGGTATAATTATTACTTATGAAAAACTTTCATTATAGCAGGTATCCCATTTACCAGAGACCCCTGTAAACATTCCTCTTACTGTTAAAGAGAAATCTTTAAATTCAGAGTAGAATGAAAAGGGGTAGAATATTCAAATCGAGCTTTATATTTCATGAATATCGCGCATAGTGGGATGTGTCCGGATCAGTGACATATATTGCCATAAAGGCACATAAGTGCAATCATGATAAATAGGATCTGAAAGGGAATAGCAGTGAGTGGAGGTAAAGGGGAGTATGAGGATCATTAAATGACCCAACATCGCAAATAAGGAAAGGCTGGAGTGTGTATGAAAAGGAAGGTCAATAAGTGTAGTAATATATAACTGGCAGTAGTTTAAAGTAAGAAAATTTTCGTGTAGTGTAAAATAATATAATGCAAAACAAGTGCAATGAAAGACAAAACAAATGCAAAAGTAATAATGGAAGGAGAATGTGAAAAATGACTAGGTGATAGAAAGATTAGTCTTTTTGTGGTGCACGGCAAATGGCCTAAGATCATAGTCCTCTTCAAGTACTTTATAGTTGAAGAGATTAAAGGAATTTAAGTATTCACATCCAAGTGCTTTATTGAAGAATTTTGTGTTTGTCTTGTTAAAATAGGTTTCGATAGTGTCAAGTCTGAGATCTTCATGAAGTGTGACATTTCTGACATAGTAATGTGTATTAGTGATAATGTGTAGGAAGTGATTTTGAAGATTTTGTAACTTCAGGAGATCATTTTTTGTAACAGAGATCCATGCAGATGAAGCATAAACTAAAATTGGTCTGATAATGGTGTAAACAAGACATTTTTTCCTGAGATCCACACTTGAGTGTTTTCCAACAACTGGAATCAGACTACTGATAACCTTGTTTGCTTTATTTTTAATCTTGTTAATATGATCATTCCATTTTAATTTAGAATTAAAAGTTATTTCTTAATATTTGGCAGTCTTGACTAAAGGAACAGTTTCTTTGAATAGTGTAAGCTGACAAGTAGGGTTAGTCTGGGATTTTTTATATAATGATATGTAATTCTTAAAAGAGTGAGTTTCATTTTCTTACTTGAAAAAATTGCTCCTCGACACTTTTGCCTTTGATCATATTAAAATAATGCAGACTTGTTAAAACAACTAAACTAGGAAGAACAAGTGTACCATAATTTTCTAATTATACTAAAATGATAAAATGAAACTTGCTGATAAAACTAAAATGAAATTTGTATAACATACATTTAAGGTCTGAAAATGAAATTAATTAACTTACATGTTTGCCAGCTGTGTAACTGTTAAAATGAATATTAATTATATGATTATTTAAATGAATATTAATATATTAAAATGTGGATTAATTAATTATGCCATAACTGTCTTCCTATTCAGAATGGAATTTGGAATTCAAACCAGGATGTGAAGAATGGAGTTGAAAAGAGAGAGCATAGGCAGGGACATGTTGAGTGCTATCTTTAGAATACAGAAGGGGGGGGAAGTGGCATGTGTTGTAGCTGAAATTTGTTGAGTGAAAACGTTTTCTGGTAGAATTTGTTATACAACTAACTAAACAAAAGAAATTAATTAATTTCTGGCTATTTCTCTTTTTGAAAAGTTATAAAAGTAAAGTACAAGAGATCTTTACTGCTCATATGCCCACATTTCATATTTTAAATGAAACAAAGGCATTTGAATTTGTCGCAGTCTTCTGCTTGCACAAAAAGTACATTTCATTGATCTAAAAGAGTGATCTTCCAATTTTGTTGACTCACAGAACCCTTAGAACTGTTAGATTTTTTCTGGGAACTCCATTCTTATAAAAATATACCTTCAAGTAATATTTCAAGTAAAGCAATATGTTATAGATACTTTATGTAAAGACAATTAAAGAAAGTATTCTTTATTTAAAAATGTAACATAATTTTAATGTAATTTACTCATTAATAGCATTAATTCAGGCTGCAGGCACCTATCCATGCATTATAGTTGATGACAGAGGTGCAATTACATTTATATATATATACTGCAATAAAGATAGACTTATTGATGTTATCTGCAGCTGCATTTCATATTTTGCATTTAATCTGTTTCTATAATTTGTTTTTGATGCCACATATATTGAGGAAGATTTTTAACTTAAATACTTTTTCCCGAATGTCATTAAAATGTTTATAGCTGTGTGAGAAACATTTGGGTATTCTGCATGAATGTGCAGCCAAAAAACTGATTAATTTTCACTAGTCAGCTAGTGTGAGTGCTGTATAATTTCATTTTGAATTTTTATTTTGATTCCTGGATCCTTGGGTTTCTGTGGAACACAGTTTGAAAAGCGGTGATGTAAAGCATGGTTTTGTTTTAGACAGTAAGATATATGTGTAGCAGATCAGTTCAATGGTGATAAGATATGGTATAATCTGCTCTACCTCCTTATCTCTTACCAAAATGACAACTGCGTTATGTACTCTTTCAAAGTAGCAATAAGGCAGCTAAACAAATTACATAGTATATTTCATAAATCAACATTCATTTGGATGTAAGAATGCCATCTTTGATTTCATCAGTAATGCCTTGGAATCTTGGATGATGTTTTCTTCTTTCTTAATGTTATGGTTATTTTGAAACTGTACTTTTTTTTCCCATTATCATTTTTTTTTTTAATTCATTCATAGCATTTTCATGACACTTAAATCTTTCTTTTGCACCTTTTTCCAGTTCATTGCACACTTTCTTGAAAATTAAAAGATAGGAAAGAGAATTGTATTTTCTAATTTCATTCCACAACAATTTCAAGAATTCAGTATATTAATTTTAATGTTTTTCCTGTTAATTTCTCAGACCAGATCCTGTGCAATTTGTTCTCATATATGCCTGTCACTTGAAGACTTAAGTCTGTCATGCAAGCTTAAAATGCTTTCAGATAGCTTAAAATATAACACTTTGACAAATCAGAATAGTTAGTGGTTCATCAGGAACATCTCTGTACATACATGTCAAAGTATACCCATTCTGTTATGGCAAAATTTGCTAAAAAATTTTTTAAAATTAATCTCTAACAGAAGCCTGAAATATTTGCAGATAATTCAAAATATAGCTCTTTGACAAATCACCAATAGTTAGTGGTTCATCAGGAACATATCTGTACATGCATAGCTAAATGTCAAGTATATCCATTCTGTTGTCTCAAAATAATGAGCTAACAAATGTGTAATAGCTAAAAAAAAACATCATTCCAGCTCTTCATCATGATATTTAATAATAAATAAATAAACTGCATTCTGCATATGTTGAATTTGCCATCTTTTTCAGATTATATTTCTCTCCTTTGATAATTACTTATCAATTCTAATGAGGTAGTGACAGTGGTTGCACTGAGGGAGACTCCCTTTCATGGAGCCATGTGACTCCACCTAATGATTGATAACTGACTGTTTTGTGATTTATTCGGGTTGCATATTACTTACTGCATACAGAACTAAAACATGCTTATTATAAATCTATGAGAAGCTCTGTTAACAATACATAGCATACAAACTATTGTGAGTAAGAAGACATGCAAACAATTATTGTAAATAAGGTCATTGTCCTATTTGTGTGAGAATCTTGCTAGAGCATTCTGACATGTAACTTTGTATGAAACAATCCATAGGCTTAATTAGTCATGCCTTCTTAATTTTTGTGTACTATTATTAGTATTTTACACCTACTGATTCATTATAGTTGAAATGATCATCAAAGGAGCAATAGGATCATTAGGCTATCAGCCTCCCTGAAATTGAGAGGCTTTCAAACCAGGATGTGAAGATGATAGACACAGTGCATATCATCAAAATCTCCTGATGCTGGTCATAACCTTATGACTGTCATCTCACACCTCATAACAGCTCAAAGACTGTGATTTTTGAGTGACCGCACACATGAATTTCTTATGTTTGTGTGGTCTGACACATTTATATATCAACTCCTTTGCTCCAGTTATATAAAATTCCACTGTTATATCAAATGCATCCTTTATTTCAACAAATTACTTTTTTCCTCATAGTCGTAAAGCTAGATGTAGTTTTCTATTAACTTAAATTTCATCACACCAATTAGGTGAAAAAAATTTGTGTGTTGCTATTTGGAAATAATGCGTTCAATGATAATTTATCTCTCACTACTATTACTATTATTTGTACAGTTAAATTGCCTGCAGAGTTAAATTGGGAGATAACCACCCTAATGAATCCTGCTTACATGAAAGATTTTTAATTTCTGCACATAATTTGTAATAAACAATTCTTGCAGTACTACTTAAAAAACATTCAGGCCTCTGAAACAGATCAGATCAAGTTATTTCTAAATAAATTTATCAAATCAGTGGATACTTTTTATTATCGGTTAAACAAATAAAATTTCAGTTAACTTATTGATCATTAACTTACTGATCAATAAATTCTTAAGGGAACATTATTAAAGAATTTCACAGCTTTAAATAAATTCACAAAATGAAATTTACTGGTTATCATTGGGCTGAGAATAAATTTTTCCTGTTACAAATTGAATAATAATTGAATCTTACTTTGGAAAGTTTGACCCTCTCCCAAGAGGGACTCCTAAACAGTAGCAGAGATCTACATTGAGGAAACACAAACCGGAAAACGCATATTCTGCTAGATAAAAAGGAATTTTCTTGTAATTAATAATTAAATGACACCTGGAGGCTTATTTTCATCTGGAGGTGCCATCCAGTGGCTTCCTTGATCTATCATTCTCTTATTCA